TTATGACGCTTTGCAAACCTAAGAAGTAGAATCTGGGATGCTGGACACCTTGCTTGCCTTGCTTTCTGAATCTGCTTTCCAGGATGAACCGTGGGAATCTAAACGCAGGAAGCTGTGTTTAGGCTCTGCCTCGATTTCACCAAGAACAGATCCTGCCGCACTGCCACTAGGCATAATTTGTGCTGTTAAAAACAAAACAAAACACAATAGATAACAGGGTGCAGGTGGCTCATGCCTGTAATCCTAGCTACTCAGGAAACTGAGTTCTGAAGATCATGGTTGGAAACCAGCCCTGATTGAAAAGTCCCTGAGTCTCTTACTGTCAATTAACCACAAAAAAGCCAGAAGTGGCTCAAGAGGTAGGGCACCAGCCTTACATAAAAAAAAAAAACAATGGGCGCCAGGTGCCGGTGACTCACGCCTGTACTCCTAGCTACTCAGGAGGCTGAGATCTGAGGATTACAGTTCAAAGCCAGCCCAGGCAGGAAGTCCATGAGACTCTTATCTCCAATAAACTACTAGAAAACCAGAAGTGGTGGTGTGGCTCAAGTGGTAGAGTACTTGCCTTGAGCTGAAGAGCACAAGGACAGTGCCCAAGCCTAGAGGGCAAGCCCCATCACCGACAGAAAACAAAACAAAACAACAACAAAAACCTAAAGGGCAATGCCCAGGCCCTGAGTTCAAGACTGACAAAAACAAACCCAAAAATCTAGACAATTGACCAAGTAACAGTCACCACTTTCAAAGTCCTGGAAAAGAACTCTAACTGTACTATGCTTTATCTACCAGGCCTTTTTTTTTTTTACCCAATTAATAGTCTTCTATAGTAATATTCATTCCAGTCAATCCTATATATATATATTTCCTCTCAATCCTTGTCTTATAGCAAGCATCAGTTTTGGCCCTCATCTGGAGTAAGTGTTCCTGTCCTTCTAAGGTAGTCATGTTTATCTTGCCACCGTCTTCATAATAGGATAATTAACCTCTTAGTAAAATAGAAATCAATCCAGAAGGCTAATACATGTTCACAATGTGCACTTTTTTTTACTGGTTCTATGAGAGAATACTATAGATCATATGGCTGGTAAAGAAAAGAAATGGATTTCTCACCATTTGGGAGCAAGGGGTTCTCAAAATGCCAGCATCTGCTGGGGTGACATAGCCTTCCTTCTCTGCCATACCAAGACAGACAGTGCAACAGAAGGAGAGCGCTCAAGAATGTAGAAGTTCAGGTCTCTGACTCTGCAAACAAAGCCACTAAGCCTGCTTGCTCCTGCCACAACCTTATTTTACCTTAATTCCTACCCAAATCCTACTTTCAAATACCATCACCATATGATTTTTGGAGATTAACTTCTCAATGCCAGAGGAGAAGGAATATCAGCACCACATGAAAACCACAGCAATTAAGCCAGAGCAAAGGAGGGAAATAGCCTTCATCTATCATCTGGATAATGGGGATGGAGTAGGAAATAATGTGAAGAAGAATAAACCAAGCAAAGGAGAAAAGGAACCGTTTTGAATGAAACTTCATCTGTTTTGTTTTGAAATGTGTTCATGTTAATTTTCTTTCTAAAACATCTTATGACTTGTCATCAGATGAGGAAAAAAAAAGTATCTCTCTTACCTTTCCAGAGCTCTCATTCTGTTGTTTCCTTTTAGGTACCACTACTGAGGAATTTCTAGTCTGGCTCATCACTTCAATGGGAATTCGGTGCACATAAGGGGCACATATGTAATTGGCAACCTAATTTTTCGGCTTTCATCAGATGGTGCTATGCCAAATCTTCATTGAACTTGCCAGTTAAATGCACTTGGGAACCAAACAGCAGCAAATCTACCAGCAATAAAACTGAGCAAATTGGAAAGAGTCATTGGCTTTCTGTTTTCCTATCACAACGAAAATTGTTATCATTGAATGTGTTGCAAGTGGGAAATTCTACTTGAAACATTAAGCAGTCCTAAAAGGGAATAATTCATTTACTAAACTTCTCAAATGTTACTCATTAAAATTTATAAACAAGCTTCCTAGTGCAGATATATATTTTTAAACCAAAGTTCAAAATAACTTTTCAGAAGTATGGTTTAGGTTATACACTTTCACTTGTCTTTCTTGTATAACACATCTGATTCCTAATCTTTATTTGGGAAGAAAATTTCCAGAAAATAAGCAAGTAACATCAGTTTTATTTAATGTCGTAATGGGGGGAAAAGGCTATTGACAGATTGTCATGGCTCTCACTTATTATAAATGCAATTTGAGAGTGTGAAAATTACAATCAGCCATGGTTACCAAAAATGCCCTTGAAATATCTGGACTAATTCATGATTTTTGAAGTATGAATTATAGAATCATAATTATCATTATTAATGACAATTAAATAGAGAAACAAGCACCAAAACTTGCCCTTCAAGACTAAAATCAATAATTTAAATATGTATTTGCAGTTTTTAATAAACTACATATATATTTTCTACGTGAAAATGTTCAGAAATAACTTTTATATAAGATTTTTCCTTTGCAATTAACATATTTTTTTCTTACTACCACTATGAAGAAAAGTTTCTTAACTTTTCCTTCTCTAAGTCCAACTACATTAAGACCTTTTAAAATCCTCACTTACTCCTAAAAATTAACATTTTAAACCCTTTTCTGCATAATCAAAGGAAGGGGGAGCTAGAAGGAAAATGTCAAAGGATTGTAGATCATCTTATTCCATAATTATTCACAGTTCCAAGGAAACATTTGACTGACCTATGAATTCTGACTAGGAAGCCATATGGACAGCAGCAAAAGGCAGAGTTCTAGCTACATCACTTATCTTTGGCATGATTTTGGGTTAACTAGTTACCTCCCAAATTCTTATCTGTAGTACTGAGAGAACAACAATAAATGGTTCATAGAGAACATATTAAATGCCTACTATTTCCTTTGTTAGTAAATATCCATTTACCATGCTTAATCTAAGAAGTTACAGTATTCCATATTTACTTATATTTTTCTACTGGGCCCTTTTTATTCACTTTGCTGTTGTTTCTTTCCAATATCACTGTGTGTGTGTGTGTGTGTGTGTGTGTGTGTTGCTTCAATTTTTGCATACTTCCATTATGATGCTAGGTCTTGATCATATGCTTACAACAGTCTTAATGAGCTCTAAACTTATTGAAGCAGATGCAGAAGATTCACAGGTGTTCGCAGTGTACAAAGGGTCAACTGTAATGGTGGCATGATTGACTTTTAAAGATGAAACAATGGTCATAAACCACGGAAGAAGATGAAACAAATAAAACATCAGACTTACCTCTTTGGCTTCCTAAATGTTACCTTCCATCAACAAAAATTGTTGCCCTCTGATAGTAGACTTGTTCCCATGCCATGAAACACACCATAAAAGCTGACTTTTACAAAGCATACTTTGCTTTTACCCCATGATTGCCACATTTCAGAAGTCAGACAGCAGAGAACTGGAGGTGTGGCTCAAATGATAGGGTACCAGCCATAAGCAAGTAAGCCCAGCAAGGCTCTGAGTTCAAATTATCACACCGAAAAAAATCTATCTGTGGTCAGATTGTGGCCAATTATACTACATAGAGCTCATATGTACTTGTTCACACACACACACACACACACACTCCAAAGAAGTTTAGGTTGATTCCTGGGAGCCATTTCCCAATAGGCAATACATCAGATGACAAAGATCCTTGTCATCTTGGAAGGAAGCTAATAAAGAGCCTAAGTGATGTTTGTCAGGTACACAAACATCTCTAAATATAGTGACGGCATTATTTACCTGGAAATGGTACTACATTCTACCAGAATGTCACGCATGCGCGCGCGCGCGCGCGCACACACACACACACACACACACACACACACACAGAGTTAAATGCACAGCTTCAGCTTCTTTCCCACTAAAGACATAACAGTATAGGAGAAGAGATAAAGAAAGGGACTGATAGGAAATCTTTCAGAACCTGATGAAACCTGACCCTAAATGAGGCCAGGCAAGAGGAGGGGCGATCAAGAGAAAAATAAGTTAGGTAAGCCACAGCACCACACAGCTGAAGGGGGTCATCAGTCAAATGATGCCAAATGGGCAGTGGGTCCTGGGCCTAAAGCCTGCGGTGGAGGACCTGGTGTGTAGAAACTCAAGTCCCAATTTCAATAACAGTTCTGATGCTTCCATTCCAGGCCAGGATGCGAGTGGAAAGGGTGTCAAGGAAACCAGCACACCAACAAGCAACAACACCCACAATAAAACTAGAAAGAGCCTCAGAGGGAGGCCCTCCTTTAGGGGAGGGAGGGAAAGATCTAAGAGAGAGAGAAATGACACCAGGCATTTCCAGCTTGCCCCCTGACCCGCCAGCTTCTCTCTACACGCCTACTTTCCTTTCATCCTGACCTACCTAGACTACTTGAACTTGAGGGACAGTGTACCAGGATGCCTTGGAGAAAGCCAAGTCAGCACAGTCAAGTTTAGCTTCCCCTAAAATGAAAAGTCAGCGGCAGGCCAGCTTGCAGGAGAGTATGGGGAGCCAGTTAAGAGATGAGTGGATGCACTTGGGTGGCTGGCACTACCCCCTGCCCCCTGCCCCCTGCCCCCTACCCCTGGCCCCTGCCCCTGGCCCCTGCCCCTGGCCCCTGGCCCCTGCCCCTGGCCCCTGGCCCCTGGCCCTGGCCCCTGCCGGGGGAGGGGTGGAGTGGGGGAGGGGAAACTCTCTCTTTCAGGTCTGCAGAAGGCCGCGAAGGTCGCGTGGCCGCGCTGCCCGGCTGGCAGCCCCAGAGCACGGCCTGCCGGGGAGGTGGCTCGGGCCCTGCACACGCGCTCACACCCGGCGCACTCGCGCACACTTAGAAGCGCCTCCCCACGGCCCTCCCCTGCCCTCCTCTGCCTCCGCTCCCCTCTCCCTCCCCGCAAATAGTCGCCGATCGACCGACTGCCAATCCGCCTCTCTCTCTCTCTCTCTCTCTCTCTCTCTCTCTCTCTCTCTCGCAACAACATGACAGACTGGAAAGCCGCGGTTCAGGCACAGCGGCTGTGCTGGCGCGGGCAGCAGGCGCTGGAGGATTATTATTAAATCACGCCGCTCGACTCCTGCCACTGGGAGTGGACCGAAGGGACCCGACAGCCCAGAAGGGGCGGGGGACGGACAAGGAGGGGGGTCCGGAAGGACACCCAGAAGACGCCGATCCATGAGTGCCGGGGAGGAGCCCTAACCAGCGGCGCCAGCCCTCCAGGTAGTACCGGCCCCCGCGCCGCCCCCTCCGCCCGCCCTGCGCCCCGCGGGTCGCGTGTCCAGGCGCAGCCGCCGCGCCCCGGCCGGCCTCGGGGCGGACGCGGGGATGACCGCCCCGCAGGTGACCGCGCCGTGCCCGGGCCGCTCCCCGAGCAGCTCCCACCCAGGCCCCGGGCTCTGGCCGTGGGCTCAGACGCGGCGATCCGGCCTGGTGGACCCGTGGAAGCGAAGCGTACGGGGCTCCCGGGTCCCTGGCTGGAGCCCCCCATCCCCCGGCCCGGGTTCCCGGGGGCTCCCGGGCGCTGCGGGGCGCGCAGGGTCACCCAGCCAAGAGTTGGCACCGGCTCTGGGCCGCTCCCCTCTCTGGTGGCTCGCAGCCGGCAGGTTAGGGGCTGCGGGGCAGCTCCGGAGAGGCGCACGCCGGCTGCCGGTGGCAGGGCGGGGACGGCGACGCGAGGGGGGAAGGGAGAAGGGGGCGGGGAGCCCGGGGCTCCCGGCGGAGCCGCAGTGCCCACGCGGGGACCGCCTCTCGCCTCCGCCGGCGGGTCCTGGGGCTCTGAGCTTCCTGCTTTGGAGGCAGGAGCAGCCCAGCGGACTGGAGAGTGGACCGATTGCTTTGTGGTGGCGCATCCAGGGCTCCAGTGTGTGTGTGTGTGTGTGTGTGTGTGTGTGTGTGTGTGTGTGTGTGTGTGTGTGTGTGTGTGTGTGGTGGCGCATCCAGGGCTCCAGTGTGTGTGTGTGTGTGTGTGTGTGTGTGTGTGTGTGTGTGTGTGTGTGTGTGTGTGTGTGTGTGTGTGTGCGCGCGCGCGCGCGCGCGGTGTCCCCAGGACTCCTGCATGCCTGGGTCACCTGAGCGGAAAGTCAACCCTGATCAGGAACTGCAGGTGGTTTCCAAGCTACCCTCTCACCTTTTGGCTTGTGTCTGGGGTGGGGGTGGGGGGTGGATGGGAGGAAAATTCTTCCCCTGGGTGGCATCCAGGCTTAAGAGGTGGTGGAGGGATTTGTGAATGGCGCGCTCTCGCGCTCCTGGAGGCTGAGCCTTGCTGATGTAAACCCGGAGGTATCCAGAGTGAGGGAAAGGCTATTTATGGCAAAAAGAAAAAAGAAAAAAAGAGTTGTGAAATTTCTCAGGGTTTACTTCCGACTATACGGAGCTTCTCCTTTTCTCTTCTCTCTCAGAATTAGAACTGATTAGGCTTCTTTCTTTCTCCCTGGGGTGGAACCTCCCAGATGAAATGAAGGAGGGATGAAGATCTCAGGGAGCAAAAAGAAAGTGCAGTCCTTAAAGTCCCTAGATCTCTGGCCTGGTCATGTGTTAATGCCCCTGTGTCAGCAGCTGCAATGACCTCTTCCAGGCCTTGAGCAAGGGCCCACCAGGCAGGAAATACCTGCCTGGGCTCAACAGCTTGCATTTCTGTCATCTTCACAGCTGAATAATTTCCCAGTGAAATGTTAACACATCCTCGGTCTTCCCCTCCTTCTAAAGGCTATTAAAATAATCTACACACAGTTTACACAGAGTTGATTTTTATTAGAAGCCTTGGGAGGACCGTGAAGCAGACAGGGAAGTGAGTTTGTGGCTATTATTACTGTTTCTTGAAAGAAAAACAAAACACCAAACAACTAGTAATTAAGGGAAGCCCAGGACACCTTTTTATCCAGGCTATACTGTAATTCGTTTATTTTGGTTTCTCTTTCTATTCATTTTACAACAGGGACACAACATGAGGTTTAGAGATGACTTGAAAATTGATATTAGTCCTCAAAAGTAGCAATCTACCCTCTTATAGAACTCCTGACTGTTTCTGATGAGAGGACAGTACCCTTGACAGAATGCCCACACATGGAAACTGCATACCCAAACCACCACCCCTTCAGTAACTTCATAAAGAAAGAGAAATTGTCTGTTGTTAGAGTGTTTGTCTTCATGTGAGTTAATTAAAGAATTGATTACAATCATTTTGATTTTTTTTAAGTACTGCTTGCTTTCCCTCCTCCGTGAAGTTGTCTTTCCTCTACATTCCAGTTCAGCTGAAAGACAAAGTAGAGCAAAGGACTTGATAGTTTGAATTGGCTAGACTCATAATAAAGTGCCTTTCCCACACCTAAGCATGTGCTGTTCTACACATCAGGTTAGGCATCCAGTGGTAAGTACCACTCTAGTGGTGCGAGGTGGAAACCTTACCTTACCTTTGCCAGGCCTTTAAAACATAGGTATAATTGGGACTTAGCTAAACATGAACGTGATCTTCTGTGTTGCTGTGACCATTGAAAGTCATGTTTATGAATACCTTGTTTTATGATGGCCAAAATAAGTAACTTCCTTATTTTAAAGTTATTTATACCATTGAATGTTAATCTATATCAAACTCAATATATTTTTACAGTGCTCTTAATTTGAATTGCTTTTGCATTTTATTATTCTTGGCTATAGTCAAAGTAAAAGGCCTATTATGTTCACCTGGAAGGTGTGTGGGGGGTGGGGTGGGGGGTACATGTGCACAGGGCGTTCCTTACTCCTGTCCATTAAGAACTATTGGCCAATCAGAAGGAATCTTACTCTTACTCTGAAATACAGAGTTAACAGCCCATGACAATAGAAGATTCCATGTCTAATGAGGACTCCAGGAGCCTAGCACATGACAATAACATTTCACACTGGATTTTGTCTGAAAAGACTTCAGAGGGTAGTTAAGACTTGGTCTTGATCTTTAAGGATAAGGAGGATTCGTAGATTTTGTTTGAGAAGAAATATAAAGTCTAAGATGAAAGACTCCTGAAAATGAAAATAAGAAATAAGGAAAGATAAGTTTGTTTCCAAGTTGTGTTAGACACTGTCTTAGACATTGTTATGTAAAGTGCAGTGTCTGTTTCTGATGCACACCATTCTGTAAATTCTATTCCTGTACATTGTTAATATTTTTTCACCTGGGAAGACAAACTTAGTCTTTTTTTTTTTTTTTGGTCAGTTGTGGGCCTGAACTCTGGGCTTGGGCACTGTCCCTCAGCTCTTCAGCTCAAGGCGAGTGCTCTACCACTTGAGCCACAGTGTCACTTCCTGTTTTCTAGTGGTTTATTGGAGATAAGAGTCTCACAGACTTTCCTGCCCAGGCTGGCTTTGAACCGAGATCCTCAGATCTCAGCCTCCTGAGTAGCTAGGATTATAGGTATGAGCCACTGGGGCCCAGCTTTATATAGTCTTTTAATAAAATATACAACTAGTTGCATTGTACTATGATTCTACCTGAATAATACAATTGACTTGATCATTTCAGAGGTACAATATATTGCATTTTGAGGAAATGTACTTTAAATGTTTAAGTATATCTGAATAACATTGAAGTGCTGAGATAGGAGTAATTGACAAACTTGTACATGTGTATCCTGTCTACAAAGGAGTACGTTAAGTTGTTCATGACCCAAACTTCGTTAGTCTTATTCTAAATAAGAGTGATTATGTCTAAGACAACAGTTTTAGTGAGCATTCATTGAGTGTTTAACATTATATTATCACATAAATATACAGCCAATTAAAGAATCTATTTTCTATATTAGTTTTGTTTTAAAGTGGTTGTTTTATCAGAGAGATTCAATTTCATTAAAGTTATTATATACACCCACATAATATAGTTCACTCATCCTTAATTACTTGTTATGAATATAGAATTATGATACCAGATATATCTGGAAGTTTTTATATTTGTAGCAATAGTTTTAAAGATCTTTTAGCTATCTATCTCTAATAAATAATTAGAGCATGTTCTGTTTCTGTTCTGAATGTACTTTTTCTTTGTGTGTGTGTATATATATATATATATGTATCTATTTCATTGTTTTCAGGCAAATGAAACATGGCTGACATGTATTTCTTTGTTTTAGTAAAACAAAACAATGACAACAAAAAATCATCAGAACAGAACTTTGAATCTATCTATTCAACATGACAGCCCAGAAGGATGTTTTAGTGACAGCAAAGAAACTGTCCAAACATTAAATATAACTTTCAATAGCCAAATGGAATTACTTTCAGATTAGTTGAATTAAAAGATTTTCCTGTGTATTTCCTTGACAGTACATAGATAAGGTTTATGACAGAAGTGAAAGCCTATTAAATCACCAATTTCATATTCATGTAAGAATGGAATGATTTCCAACATGGGCTACAAACCAGCCTGTACAAGTCAGCCTATCTGTTAATTGGTTGTTTGTGAGTTTCTTTTTCTACTTGATGTCACAGGTGTATCATGTTGATAATATAATCTCACCTACTAGATGAACGACAGCTTCAGCATGATTTCCCTATTGGGTAGTGACAGAATCAGCTTGCTTTATGTTGAGGACATAGGTTTCTATCAGCAATGTTATTTTCACCATGCGAGAATGTCAGTTCACAATAAAACATAAAGTCTAGTGTTGGAGAAGCAGTGGGGAAAGATGGAGAACTGTGAGAAGCCATTGTAACAGAAGAAAGATGTTCCACTATGATGTTTGAGCAAAATGTGAAGCTGGCTATCTTGAACTGCAGTTGATAGAGTACTGTTCTCAGCATTCAAAGTTGAAACCGTCAAAATGGCATTTTAGCTGATTTCCTATCCATTTTTTTAAAAAAAAGAGATAAAAAGTGAAGTCTTTGCTAAGTTCTTCAGGACATTAAAAACTGTTAAAAGAGCCAGGCACCAATGGTGCACGTCTGTAATGCTAGCTACTCACGAGACTGAGATCTGAGGATCATGGTTTAAAGTCAAGAAACTCTTTGAGACTCTTATCTCCAATAAACTACTCAAAAAAGCCAGAAGTGGCTCTGTAGCTCAAATGGTAGTATACTCTCCTTGAGCAAAAAGAAGCTCAGGGACAGTGTTCAGGCCCAGAGTTTAAGCACCAGGACCAGCAAATAATAATAATATTATTAATAATAATAGTTAAAAATTACTTCTGTGATTATTGACAGAGAAGTTGATTGGCCTGATTCCCTGGCCTTCTACCTAGATGAACTTAAAGCAT